AATTACCTGGTCATATGGTAAATTCATGTCTAGTTTTATATGGAACTGCCAAACTGTTTTTGAGTGCTTATACCAATACACATTCCCAACAGCAATATATGGCTGATTCATTTTCTCTGTGTCGTCACCAGCATTTGGTGATGGAGTTGTTTTTTTATTAAATTCACCCTTTCTGATAGGGGTATAGTGATATGTCATTGTTGTTTTGATTTGCATTTCTCTGAATGGAAATGATGTTGGACATTCTTTTCATGTACTGTTTGTTTTATTCATATCCTCTTCAGTGAAATGTCTCTTCATCTTTTTTGACTAAGTCTAGAGAGTTCTTTATACATGTTAAACACCAGTCCTTTGCCTGATGGATTTGCAATATTTTTCCTAGGCTGTAGGTTGTATTTTCTTCCTTTTCACATAGACCCTCAAAGAAAGAACATTTTTAAAAAACTTTTGATGAGATGCAATTTGTCAATTTTTCCTTCTTTGGATTATGCTTTTTTTGCATCTAGTTTGAGAACTCTTAGACTATTCTTAGATTCTAAGGATTTTCCTCTTTTGTCTTAATGTTTTATAGATTTGTGTTTTATATTATTTAAGTCCACGATCAATTTTAAGTTAATTTTTTTATCATGTGTGAGGTTTGTATTCAAGTACATTTTTTGACATATGAATGCCCAAATGCCCCTGCTTTATGTGTTTAAAAGATCACCTTTCCTCAATTCAATCATCTTATATCCCTTGCCAAAACCAGTTGAACATATCTGTTTACATCTTGTTCTAGATCTTGGTTTTACTCTATTGATTTATGTGTCTAACCATTTAGTAACACCACGCAACCTTAATTACTGCAGCTATATGGTAAATCATTTTCACTTTTATTAAGTCCACACAATGTGATATTTTCCATATTGTAGTTTTTCATTTCTTAATTTCCATTGGACGATTTTGTAGTAACTTCTTTTGCTGAGATTTTTCAGTTTTTTATTTGTCTCAAAATAATTTGTAATTGAATTTTGGAGCATTTTTATAATTACTTTTTAAAAAATTGTATTATGTAATTCCAACATCTGATTCCTCTCAGTATGGCATCAGTTGATTTTCTTATTCAAGTCATGATTTTGTGGTGGGGTATGATATTAAAGTTAATTTTCAGCCATATTCATTTGGACATTTTGTCTGTTACATTAGAAGACTTTTGTTTCTATTTAAATATTTTATTTTTGCAGTAAGTCACCTAGTCCAAGTTCAGAATGCAGGATTCGGCCTAATTCATGAGCTGTGGTTTCAAGGAGACTTTAATTTGCAGAACCTTAACAGTGTTACTCTCATCTGCTTGGTGTGGTGCTGCTGGGCTCCCACTGGTTCTGGCTGGTCCTCCCTTAGGGTGCCGAAGGGGGGTTTTCAAGTCTAGCTGCTAGGTGTCTTTCACTGGTGAAAGGCATAGTGGAATCCATTTTCTGAAGCCCCTGATTCTTCTGGTGTCTCTGGCTGGGGAAGGAGAGTCTTGGGTCTGTGGGGAGCTGGACCTGGCTGCTTGCTTTACTGGGTCATTCTTGCCATCATGCCTGACACTTACAGAATCTTTCAATGGAAAAAAGCAGTCTCAGGACCAATGGGAAAAGAAAGCTCTTAGCCTGGACACAGTAGTTTAGGGTCTACCAATCAACCCCTTTTGATGGTAGTATTGGGATAAACTGATGTTGTCAGAAAGGCTCTTCTTGCTTTGTAGGCAGAATGAGCCTACCTGGGCTATCCTCTGTTGGTGAGTCAGAGATTGGCAAATGCCGGGTCTGGGTGGCCTTCCTGCTTTGGATAAGAGGATAAAAGATGCCCCGCTGCTGTGCTGTTCTTCCAGTCTTAGGAGTTCCAAATCAGCTCGCCGTCTTCCTGCACCCTACAGAGTTCCCCTTTGGTTGTCTCTTCCACCCATTCTGGGGTTTATAGTGGCACTTCCTGGAAAGGAACAAGGAAAAACTATGCCATCTTATTCATACCAGAAATTCAGGAAGCCTTCATGCCAAGTGTTCGGCTATGATATAAGCAGGCTCTGCCCTTTTATTTTCTGATATATGTTTCTGTACTACCCATGATAAATAATCTGATTTGAGGTACATTTTTCTGCCCCAAATAGGATTTGCCCTTTATCAAAGACATGTGTATTGCTCTCTATAGCCTATTGATATAAACACATCGTCCTTCATAATATAGAAGATGTTCCACAGCCAGGCCATTGCTTCTCTATTTTAAATTCCTCCCACATACACACCTTACAAACATTTCTGATTTCCTGCCATTCCTACCTTTATTCAAATTGTCCCTTCTACCTGAAATGTTCTCTCTCCTGTGCTTCTTTAGAAATGCTTGTGGGATTTCACCTAGTGTTTTAATGATTGCAAAAGTCAGGGTCAACTTCTAAAAGACTGTGTATGCCAAGTTAAGGTTTTTGCACTTTAGCCTGTAGGTAAAAGCAATTTCCGTGCTGGCTTCAATCCTCTGAGAACCCTTATTAGTGGTTACTGATGCTGTACTCTCTGGGTTACTTGATTTGTAAAGAGAGAAGCATGCCTTACTGCTTTGTTTTGGAAGTCAGTTGACATTCAGTTATTAGACTAATCCAAATTGTGTTTTCCAATGAATGTCTCAAGGGAAGGATTCCAATTCACTTTGGCTACTTAAGAGAAGTTGTCAGAGTAAATTAAGGACTCTGCTCTTGCTCAGGCAGTGGATGTCTCTAGAATAATACCTCTTGTTTTTTCTTGATGTGCAGAATACCCTTGTTTGAAGTCTGATTGGACCATATAGCCATATAGAAAGTGGTTCTTCTGTTGTAAAATAAGTACAAAAATATAGCTTCCATGCATTTATATGCCTATTATATTTACGACACTAGATGCCAGAAAGTGTATGAAAATGTTAACAATACAGCACCTGTGTTCAGCAGGTATAAAATGTTTATGTATTCACTCATGCACTCCTTATTCAATCACCTTTTCATATATTGATTTAATATTTACTTTTTGCCAGTTACACGTCAGTTCTTTTGCTAAGTGCTAGTGTTGTAATGAATAAGGCTTATATTCCTCGAGGAGCTCTTCACCAGTCAGAGGACAGGTTCTTATACAGAGTCTTATCACTGGTTTGCCACGTGATTAGGCCAGTGGCTTATTGCCACACTATTACCATAGGCATGTAGGACCCCAAAACATATAAATAGGAGATATCTAACTCAAAATGCAGGAAAATCAGGCATTGTGAGAAAGCGATGGAGAAGGTTTTAAAGGGTGAATAGGCATTAAGGCAGAGAAAGCAAAGCAGATACTCAGAGGAGCAGACACAGGCTAGAAGGAGAGAAGTTGCATCCTGTTTGTTCTGAGCACTGAAGAGTCAGAAATGGACTTGGAGAGGTAGGCAGGGAGGAGTCACTAACAAGCATTAATGGCTGTGATTTGCACAGTGCTTTACTGTTTATGACTTGCTTTGTTTGATTATCACACAAAAATCCTTGATAATTAATTCAACTCATGTGGTTCAATATACAAGAGTTATATGAAAATCCATTAAATTAAGCACCTACCTAACTGCCTTCTTTATCTCCCTTTCATCCTTCTTTTCCTCATTTGTTCATGTGTTTGTTTCTCCTTTCTTCCCTCTCTTCCTCTCTCCCTCTCTCTTTCTTTCTTCAAAAGATATTTGCTAAATACCTACTGAGTTCCATGAACAATGTTAGGCAACAGGGATGATGAATGTGAACAACAACTGAAAATAATTTTTTAAAAAACCCTTATATATTTTGCATTCTAGTCTAGAAAAACCATATCCAAGTTAAAAAGCAAATATTTAAATATTTAAAATTATTTTGAGTTACATGTTAGGAAGAAAAAATAAGAGAGGCTGAAATGGTGGCTAAGACAACAATGAATCTTCTAATACAATGATGTTTCAACTAGATTCAAAGGAAGAAAGGAACCCCCAGTAAACATAGTTGTAGAGAAAGCAAAGTTCAAAGTGCCAGAGTGTAGAGTAAGATTTGAAATGAGACCGTGCACATGGATCACAGAGTGGGGGAAAGAAATACAATGCCAATAGCAATTACACAGGGGCTAGTTCATCTAGTACTTTGCAGGCCTGAGAAAGGGATTTGGAATTTACTTGAAGTGTAATGGGAAGACACTGGCTAGTTTTAGCTGTGGACTGGCATCATCTGGTTTGTATTTTTAGTAGTATTCTCTGAGTGATATGTGGAAAATAGAATTTAGCAGACAGTGAGACTGGAAGATATGAGACCAGTCAAGAGGCCACTGAAATAATCCAGGTGAGAGATGATAGGGGTCACACTATTCTTGGCAATAGAGGATGAGAAAAAAGTGAAGATGGCGTAAACTTCTCAAGACAGGCTCAAGAAATCTTCAGAATGGAAAGAATGGGGATTTGCTAGTAAGTGTGAGAGAATCAACTCTTACTCCTAAGATTCTGGCTTAAAAACTGGACGGATGATGTGCTTATTTATTTGCTGAAATTGGGAACACAGAGTAGATCACAGCTTCCCCACCCAAATGCATGTATATATGTATATATGTATATATATATACACACACACACACGTGTATCTCAACTGCATATCAGCAGCAGCTGTGGACTCCTTGAGGATCTGGTAGAGTTTGGTTCTAATCATCCAAGCACACAAACTTCAGGATCAGCTCCGCAATCAGGAACATGGAGTTTTTACCAGATTTCTTTGCAGCATAGCCAGGTGGGCACATGGCCTGGCTGCTGCAATTGGATGTGTTCATAGGAGACTTCAGGTCAAATTCAGTATCCTGAAGAAGGTGGAGGCATACAGAATCAGTCACAGCAAAACATGCATTTGACCTTCAGAATGTCAGTGCAGGCTACAGAGCTCTGTTCTCAGTGAGACCAGCTTTTTCATATGCTTTATTTATTAAATATACCTATGATATAGTTTGGCTCTGTGTCCCCAGCCAAATCTCACCTTGAATTGTAATAATCCCCATGTGTCAAGGGTGGGACCAGATGGAGATAATTGAATCATGGGACAGTTTCCCCCATAGGGTTCTCGTGATAGTGAGTGAGTTCTCATGAGATCTGATGGTGTTGTAAGGGGCTTCCCTCTTCACACGGCACTCATTCTCTCTTCTGCCGCCCTGTGAAAAGTTGCCTTCCACCACGACTGTAAGTTTCCTGAGGCTTCCCCAGCCATGCAAAACTAGGATTTAATTAAACCTCTCTTTTCTGTAAATTATCAAGTCTTGCATATTTATTCATAGCAGCATAAAAATGAACTAATACAACCTACTTAATTTATTTACTCATGTGCTCCTTATTCAATTGCCTTATTTTCTTTTTCTGACACTCCAGGAAAGAACCGTGGATCTGTTTAGAACATATTCATGTTATGAGGCATTAAAGAGATATAAAAGGAACATTTGGTTGTTTAAATCTGGGGCTCAGAAGTGAGATTGGGGCCAGAAATATCAATTTGGAAATTATCAGCAAAATAGGCATTAAAATATATGAGAGCAGGCCGGGCGCGGTGGCTTAAGCCTGTAATCCCAGCACTTTGGGAGGCCGAGGTGGGTGGATCACGAGGTCAAGAGATCAAGACCATCCTGGTCAACATGGTGAAACCCCGTCTCTACTAAAAGTACAAAAAATTAGCTGGGCATGGTGGCGCGTGCCTGTAGTCCCAGCTACTCAGGAGGCTGAGGCAGAAGAATTGCCTGAACCCAGGAGGCGGAGGTTGTGGTGAGCCGAGATTGCACCATTGTGCTCCAGCCTGGGTAACAAGAGCAAAACTCCGTCTCAAAAAAAAAAAATAAATAAATAAAATAAAATAAAATAAAATATATGAGAGCAAGGAAAAAGGGAAAACAGAGTTAATGCCTAGAAAGAAAGTGACAATATGAAGACTGATCATCAAGTTGGTGATATCGTTTTGTAAAAAGTAAACTCAGGTCTATTGAGGGCTCTATTGTGGCTATTGGTTTTATTTCAGGATATTCACTATTTCTGAGCCTCACCTAGATGCTCAGAATGCTCTGGTGCTGTTATGAGCCAATGATACAACTTATTCAACTATCAACTATACTGCAGGAAAAATTCACATATGCACACACACAGAAAGAGAGAGAGGGAAGAGAGAAAATACAGACTAATTTATATAATTGAATTTATAGGTTTTAGGAAAAAAATCCTTGAATAGTAGTGGCCCTCTGTAAATTAGGCACTAGTGAGTAAGTATTGGCTCAACTAAATCAGTTACTGTGTTAGTATTAGTTGGGTAAGCAGTAGCAGGGAGAACAGATGAATATTTAGATAAAAGTCAAGCCTGGACAAGTCAGAAAGCATGAAAAGTCATGGATTGATGAGAATGCTTGGTGCTCTTAGAGCATCAAGTTGCAGAGGGAAGAGGCAAAGTCTTTGACGTTGTGTAGGTTTCACAGGAAAACACAGTTAGTGGCAGGTGGGAGATTTGAATTCAGCTCTCTTGACTCTAGGTGCAGAGCTCTTTCCTTTATCCATGCTTTTCTTGTCTTCAGTTTTCTTACCTTCTTAATAATTTGGCCTGTAATATGTGATATGGTTTTGCTGTGTCCTCACCCAAAATCTTATCTTGAATTATAATCCCCATAATCTCCCCACAAGGGAGAGATCACGTGGGGGTGATTGGATAATGGGGGGAGTTTCCTCCATGCTGTTCTCATGATAATGAGTGAGTTCTCATGAGATCTGATGGTTTCATAGCTGTTTGGTAGTTCCTCCTGTGTTCATTTCTCCCTCCTGCCACCTTGTGAATAAGGTACCTTGTTAACCCCTTTGCCTTTCACTGATTGTAAGTTTACTGAGGCCTCCATAGCCATGCCAAACAGTGACTCAATTAAACCTCTTTCCTTTATAAATTACCCAGTCTTGGACAGTTCTTTATAGCAGTGTGAGAACAGAATAATACAGCCTGTTTTTTAAACTTATTTTTATGTGGCTATTTGAAGCATTACCATCATGTGTTTGGCTCACATCCTATTTCTATCATATGGTGTTGCACTAGAATACTTTCTCTAAGCCAAATCTGCACCCTGAAAATCTGGGCCCTGGGATGGGCTCTACTCAGAGAGAGTTTTCATAGTGTTCATACCAGGAGCAAATGTTCAATTGTTCATCATAGGTTCAAGTTCCTGCCAACTATCTGATGGCTCTTGGACCCGGGGTTCTGGCTTCTTCATCTGTAAAATTTAGGTTCTTGTGAAGATTGAATTTAAAAGAAACACATAAGCAATTAGCTCCAGAAATTAACCAGCTGTGGGGCCTTAATTAAGTCACATAAGGTTCCCAGTTCTTCACTTTGTAAAGTAGTGTGGAATTATTAGGTGTGCAGCTCCATCAATCTCCTGCATTACAGGATAGCAGTGTGGTTAGGAGGTTAGTTGTTGTGTATTGGGCAAATTATTTAGTGTCTCTGTCTCTTTGGTTTCTCATCTAAATAGGAAGATGACAAGACCTTATAGAATTGTGAAAATTAAATAAGATTTTCAAGTTAAGGATATACTACAATGACTGGCATACAGTAAGCCCTGAATAAATGCTTGCAATGATGGTGGTGATGATGATGATGGAATTAACAGGAACATAAAAGGAATCCAATTCCATTTATTCCTGTTGCCTCTTCAATACAAACATGATACAGCACCCACTTGAAAGGGCAACTGTGAAGGCCAAGAACTGGGGTAGGTTCCAAGAGAAGAAGGTGGCCTTTTGCCAGGTGCAGAGGTACTAGTGTGGCTGTCAGAAAGTGACAGAGCATTTACCGAGAAGCCAACATTTGCTGAGAGCTCACACGTCAAAGCTTTCAGTGCTGTCACCATTTGCCAGAGTCCATGGGACCAGCCACGCCTGGATAAACCAAACAAACAGAGGAATGAAAAGCATATCTAGACAAAGGCTTAAGAGACCCTTATCCACCTCCTCCATACTTCTTCAGTATGACCACTCAGGACATCTTAACCACCTTGCTGCCTTTCTAAGTAAGCCACTGAGAACCTTGTTCAACCTTACCTGTCCATACCTGTAGCTGCTATGCCAGTTCGGGCCCCTCACCAAGGCCTTTCATGGGAATACAATGTCAATGACCATTTCAACACCCTCAACAACTTCCCATTGCTCAGGAACAGTGGTGAACAAGATTAGGAACATCAAATGATGCTAAAATAGCACGATGATGGAATTTTGACCAAAAGACACAGAGGCATTTTTGTAAGTGTCTATATGATCTGCTGTTTCTCTACCCATGTCTACTAGCACTCCAAATGCATTTGCTCTCCCACTCCCCATTACTGAATCTGTTCTAGCCACCCTGGCCTCTTTGATATTTCCCAAGTAAGTCAAGCACATTCCTGCCTCAGAAACTTTTCACTTGGTCTTATTGCTTAAAACCCTCCTTCTCCAGGTGTCCTTGTGGCTTGCTTCCTCATTCTATTCCATTTTTGCTGAATATTTTCTTATGACTGAGGACTTATTAGACCTCCCTGAATACAACGGCAGCCCCAATGGCACAATAACATAATTGTATCTCTTTCTTGTTAGGACTTAAACATAACATAAACATATGGATCCCTTGATTCCTCTACTAACATAAAACTTTGTGTAGGCAGCTCCTTGAATTTTTTCAATGAATGCATTCTCAGATCCAAAATGAATGTCACAAAATAAGGACTTGATAAAAATTTATAAAATAAATGTATAGAATAAATGAGGAGCCATTGGAGGAAACTCTTAGTAGGTTTTTCTGCCTCTGGTGATTTCTACCTCAAGTTCACCTCACTATGTTATTCTTAAAGGAGCTCTGACAGTATAATAATTCACTTAAATGCATCAGTGGTTTTCTATTGCTTAGGAATTATGACAAGATTGAGAGGCTAAAAGTCACAGAATTAAAACAGTATGATAGTAATATGTTGACCAAGTGACTTAGGAGTAGTAAAGCCTTCCCCTCTCCCATCACACTCGCCTTGTGAGGCCTACATGTGCAAGAGGGAAAATAAAAATACCTTCAGTATTTATTAAGGCTCTGGCATCAAACCTTAATGTAAAAACTTAGATATGAACTAATAAGCAAGGCTGAGCTCATGGAAAGATCAATTTTACTAAAACTAAACGTTTCACCAAGATTCACCAGGTCCTAGCCAGATAAAACAGTTCATGTGGAATTCTTCAAATATGTCACATTGCTGGGTTTAGGCTTTATCCCTTAAAAACTTTTACCCTTAGTAAAGGTGGTCCTACAAAAATGTCCTCAAATCTTGAACCCTATCTGAATTAAAAAGGTTAGAGTTTGGTGCATTGGGAGAGGTATGGTAAGAATGAGCACTCTCTAGAAGACATTTTATGGATTTTCATTTTTCATGTTAACCCACTTAGATTAATAGTAATGTTTCTGGGTGATTGGTCAGGGTTGACTGTAACCCTGGTAGAAGGAGATCTGCATAATCTTAAAGTCCTGTGTACCACCTTGGGCAGCTTTCTCTAAACGTTTTTATGTTCTATACATTCCCCTGTGACCATTGAAATGTATCATTCAAACCCTAATAATTCTTAAATAAGAATTTCTATTATTTTTATTTTATTCAAATGAAGTGTAATATAAGAGACAAGATAGTGGGATTTTTCTTTTAAATTTTTTGAGTTCAAGGGTACACGTGCAGATGTATAGGTTTGTTACTAGATAAATGTGTGTCATGGGGGTTTGTTGTACAGATTATTTCATTACCCAGGTATAAAGACTGGCATCCATCAGATATTTTTCCAGATCATCTCCCTCCTTCTACCCTCCATCCTGCGATAGGCCCCAGAGTGTGGTTTTCCCTTCTATGTGTCCGTGTGTTCTCATCATTCAGCTCCCACTTGTAAGTGAAAACATGCAGTGTTTAGTTTTCTGTTCCTGTATTAGTTTGCTAATGATAATGGCCTCCAGCTCCATCCATGTTCCTGCAAGGGACATGGTCTTGTTCCTTTTTATGAATGCATAGTATTCCATGGTGTATATGTACCACATTTTCTTTATCCGGTCTATCATTAATGGGTATTTAGGTTGACTCCCTGTCTTTGCTATTGTGAACAGTGCTGCAGTGAACATATGTGCGTATGTGTCTTCATAACAGAACAATTTATATTTCTTTGGGTATATAGCCAGTAATAGGGTTTCTGGGTCAAATGGTACTTCTGTCTCTAGGTCTTTCAGGAATGGCCACACATCCTTCCAGAATGTTTGAACCAATTTATACTCCCACTGACAGTATAAAAGCATTCCCTTTTCTCCAAAACTTCACCAGCATCTGTTATTTTTTGACTTTTTAGTAATAGCCAAGAATGTTTTTTAGATAAGTCACAAAAATATCTTCAGATAACCTCCACAAAACACTATCCAGAAATTTACCATTCATTTCGTTTAGTAGTTTAGTGTCCAACTAAGCCTCCCCAGACAGTTATGCAAAGTGTATTACTTTTATTGTATTAATTGCTAACCACTAATTTTTAATACTAATAAGGCTTTCATGACAGATTGAGCAGCTTAAACAATGTAAATTTATTTTCTCACTGCTTAGGAGGCTGGAGGAAAGAGATCAACATGCAGTAGAGGGTTGATGTCTGAAGACTCTCTCCTTGGCTTTTTTCTGCCAGTGTCCTCACATGGTCTTCTCTCTGTGCATATCTGTGTCCTGATTATCTCTTCTTATAAAAAGAGTCATATTGAATGAGTACCAACACTAATGACCTCATTTTACCTTAATTATTTTTTGAAGACCCTACCTATCTCTAAGCTGTCTGAAGTTTTGAGTGTTAGAACATCAACATATAAATTTTGGGAGAACACAGTTCAGCCCATAACACCACAGAATTTCCTGTGTGAGAAATGAAATGCAAATAATCATGCTCCACAACATAAATGCCAGAAACGTGAATAATATGGAATTTTTATTACTGATTTCCTCACAGTCAGATCAGATTTCAAAACAGAAACCCACCATTCCTTTCAGAAAGAAAAAAGAAAAACTCTCAGTATATCCCTTTGCTTTCTTGTCTTCTCAGCTTCAGGTAACAGGGTCTTTCGCAGACACCCACACGGATTCCAGGCTCCATTTTTAACTCCTGAAGTCAGGACCATGTCTACACACACAATGGATTCATTGACATGCACCATGACCACAGCCTGTTTCTCCCAACGTCAAGCTTTTCTGCCTTTTCAAACAGAAGTCACTAAAGACGGCAGAGGATCCCTTTGTTGTCTGCTCATCCTATTTCTCCAGTTTCCTCCCCTGCTATTCCTTGCTTTCTATTTTCAGGATGATGTTGCTTCTCATCTGGATCCTTACAGAAACTTACTCCCTGTCTGTAGCCACTGAATTTATTTTTTTCTATGCAGCTAGAGGGATCTTTCAAAAATGTAAATAATATGTTATTACTTTAGAGACATCCTAACATTCTATTTCACCTTCAGCATAAAGGGCAAACACCTTAGTATGGGAGAAGAGCCTATTTATTTCCTAATGCCTGTCTATGAGTCTGCAGCTTCATCCCTTGAAAGTCCCTATAAAAACATATGTTCCACAATTTGGAGCTACCTACTTTTCCCCAAGTATGCTCTGTTGCATTTCTCCCATTCCCCGCATCACAAAGTACACTTACAATGTTCCAACCTGTCCCAAAAGCAAGCCCTGAAGGCCATCTTACATTTCCATTCATTCCTTAATCCCCT